ATAAAACAAACCCTTTTCACTCTACTTCCTCTGTCATCTTCAACCCTATCCCTTCGTTCCCCCATGCAATCAAAATCCCACAGAAAGAGCTGCCTAGACTTGTTTCCAATTTCTTTCCTTCCATTCACTCTTATATACACTGTAATCAAGCTTTCAATCTCTTCAACTCCAACAGAACTACTCTTGACAAGGTTATCAATGACCCTATTAAATATAATGTGAATTCCCAGACTTCATCTTACTACACCTATAGACAACATTTGAAATAGCTGACTCTCTTTCTTGACAAACTTTTCTCCCTTGGCGTCTGGGACATGAAATTCTCTTGGTTTCATTGTCTCACTGATAAATCTTCCTTCTCTATTCTACCGTTTAATAACAAAGTGCCCTAGGGCCCTGGCCTTGGCCCTCTTCTCTGTAGTCACTCTCCTCTGGTGATCTCATCCTGTCTTTAAATATTATCTTTATGGGCAGCCGAGGTGGCTCAGCGGTTTAGCGCCGCCTTCGGTCCAGGGCGTGATCCTGGAGACCCAGGATCGAGTCCCACGTCAGGCTCCCTGCATGGAGCCTGCTTCTCCCTCTGCCTGTCTCTCTCTCTCTCTCTGTGTCTCTATGAATAAATAAAATTAAAAAAAATAAATATTATCTTTATGTTAACAACTTCCAAACATATAGCTTCCAAACTTGACACTTGTATATCCAAGTATTTCCAACTGTACAACCAACAGATCTTTAAAACTTGAACTCTCTTTTAACCCTAAATCTGCCTCACCCACAACCTACCCATCTTAACTGAATGCAAATCCATCCTTCGAGTTATTCAGTTCCAAAACCCTGGAAGTTAATTTGACTCCTATCTTTCTTTCATGTCCTCCATCCAATTCATCAGGAAATCCTAATGGCTCTACTTTTAAAATATATTCAGAATCCAACCAGTTCATAGCACTTATACTGCTATCACCCGATCTGAAGCTCTATCACCTCTCACCAAGATTACTACAACAGTCTCATAACAAGTTTCTCTGCTTCCATCCTTAAAGCTCTATAGCCAATTCTCAGTAACAAAGCAAAACAAAACAAAACAAACTTCTGGGACATTAACAAAGTTCTTGAATACTCTTTGAGGGTCTACTATGTACCAGCCAGAATAATCCTTTTATAATATGTCAGATCATGTTACCTCTCTTCCTAAAGTACTGCAATGCTTCCTTTCACTTAGGGTTAAAATCAAAGTCCTTACAGTGACTTCAACAGACCCATTACTTCTCCGATCTTACCTATTCTCTCCATTCAGTCATTCCAGTCATATTGGCTTCCTCATTGCTCCACAAACATCAAGGAACCCTCTTGCTTTTGCATTGACTGTTCCCTCTGCATGGAAGTTCTTCCTTGAGAACTTTGTTGTCTCCCTCACTTTCAAGTCTTTGTAAACTTCTAACCTCCTCAATGAGGCCTACTGGCTGACTCTATACAATTCTGAATATTTCTTCCCTGTTCTCCATGCAGCACTGATGTTTTTCTTTTATCCTTTGCAGTTTTCATCTTCTTCTTCTAAGATTTGCTTATTTATAATGTTTACTGTTTCCCCGTACTTTCTCTCTCTCTCTCTCTCTCAAGATTTCTTTACTTTAGAGAAAGAGTGACTGTGCAAGTGTGGGGGAGGAGGAGAGGAAGAGAGAATCTGCAGACTCCCTGCTGAGTGGGAGCCTAACTTGGGACTCAATCCCAGGACCCTGAGATCACGACCTGAGCTGAAATCCAGAGTCAGACACCTAACTGACTGAGCCGCCCAGGTACCCTTCCCTGTAATCTTTTAAAATATAAACTCTGTGAGGCCAGAGATCATTGTTTTGTTTGCTGAGGTATTCCAAGCACCTAGAACAATGCCTGCTACATAGCAGATGTAAAACAAATATTTACTAAATGAATTTCATTCTCATAATAATGACCATATGAGGAAGGTGTTATATATTTTCATCCTATTTGGTAGATGGAGAAGTTGTAAGACTAGGGGCAGAGAGAGTAGAGAAGACTAAGTTCTTTTTTTTTTTTAATTTTATTTATTTATGATAGTCATACAGAGAGAGAGAGAGTGAGAGAGAGAGAGAGAGAGAGAGGCAGAGACACAGGCAGAGGGAGAAGCAGGCTCCATGCACCGGGAGCCTGACGTGGGATTCGATCCCGGGTCTCCAGGATCGTGCCCTGGGCCAAAGGCAGGCGCTAAACCGCTGCACCACCCAGGGATCCCAAGATTTATTTTTCTGAGAGAGAGAGAGAGAGAGAGAGCGAGCACATGTATGCAGGCCAGCCAGGGGAGGGCAAAAAGGGAGAGGGAGAGAAGCAGGCTCTGCTGAGCACGGAGCCCAACGTGAGGCTTGATCTCACAACCCTGAGATCATGACTGAGCCAAAATCAAGAGTCAGATGCTTAACCAAAACTAAGCAACCCAGGTGCCCCTGTGCTGGTTAATTTCATGTGTCAATTGGCTGGGCCACAATTCTCAAATATTTGGTCAAATACTATTTATTTTGTTTTTATTTTGATCAAACACTATTTTAAATATTTCTGTAATGGTATTTTTTAGATAAGATAAACACTATTTTTAAAAGATTTTATTTATTTATTTGAGAGAGAGAGAGATGCAAGAACATGAGAGAGAGAGCACAAGCATGGGTAGCGGCAGAGGGAGAGGGAGAAGCAGGCTCCCCACTGAGTAGGAAGCCAGACATGGGGCTCAATCCCAGGACCCTAGATCATGACCTGAGCAGAAAACAGAAGTTTAATGGAATAAGACACCCAGGTGCCCCAGAGATTAACATTTATATAAAAAAAAAAAATGGGTGGGGGAGGAAAACCATAAGAGATAATTATTAACCACAGAGAATAAACTGAGGGCTGCTAGAAGGGAGATGGGTAGGGGATAGGCTAAATGGGTGATGGGCATTAAGGAGGGCACTTGTGATGAGCACTGGGTGTTATATGTAAGTGAAGGATCACTAAATTCTACTTCTGAAACCAATATTACACTATATGTTAACTAACTGGAATTTAAATAAAAACTTACACACACACAAAAAACCAAATAATATTTAAACCAGTAGACTTTGAGTAAAGCCAATTACACTCAATAATGTGATGGGTCACATCTAATTAGCTGAACGCCATACTAAACCAAAGACTGACCTCCTCTGAGCAAGAGGTAATTTTGTCAGCAGACTGTCTTTGGACTTGAACTGCAATTCTCCCCTCAACCCTCAATCTCCAGCCTGCCAGTCTACCCCATCATATTTTAGACTCATCAAGCGTCCATAATCATGTGAGCCAACTCCTTAAAACAAATCTTTCTCTCTCTCCAGATATCCATTGGTTCTATTTCTCTGAAGAATCCTAATGCAGGTTCACAAACAAAACTGTTTCTTTGTTCAAGAGTTATAAGGGCACTAAAAACACTCAGGAACCCTATGAGTCAAACCAGTGTTAATTATCTATGTTTTCCTATCAGTAAAATACTAAAAGTGTTATAAGCAAACAAAAATCTGGGATACAATGCCATTATTACTGACCCTTGAGAGTCAAAGGATTTGCTTACCACATAGTAAAATAGTATCACATACTAATGATAATTCTAGAATTGTAAGTTTTTTTTTTCTCTTTGGACCAAGGAATCATTTGTTCAAGAGAAACCAATCTTAGAATCCCCAACTGTTAAAATCATTTAAAAAGAGGTAGTTTGATATAAACAAGGTTAGGAAACTTTTCCAGCCCTTCTCCTAAAAAATAAGTCCTTGAGGGAAGCTAAGGTACCATGAGGTGCAATAGAACCAAGTTTGAAAACTCATTTAATCACCTTGTCCTCAATAAACCCAATGAACCTTATGCTGCCATGACTACCACCATCCTGGGCATTTAGAAATAGATTAAATGATTTGGCCAAGACTACAAAATTAACTACTAGCCAAACTGAGGCCTTCTAACCTTGTCCTTTATTATTTTGCAAATTTTGTAAAAATAAAAAGCTATCTTTCTAAAATATGCAAAACACTTTACCTGCACAATGTGGCAGGTTAGCAGAAGAAACAAAAAACCCCAATAGAACCTTGTGGTAGGGTTCATATCGGCACATCTGCCTCTCTGGCATCATTCCTGCTGACTTCATCACTCCTATGAGGAGAGGAAGGAAGATAAGCCTTTGCCTGTAATATTGGCTACATTAATGACCTAAATAGATTTTGTCCAGCACTAACAGAGCAGCAAATTAGGGCATCGAAATGTAAATTAAATTGTAATTACTTACTTCTGGATAATATATCTTTGGTAAAAGCTGCTCTTGAAATTGAACATAAAAAATTCTTATATGCAACTTTGCTAAAAAATACATTTTTACTTGCAAACAGAAACATGAGCAACTTAATGAAATGAACAAATAGGATTATTTCCTCCATTTGATAGAGTAGGAAACATTAAATGACTTATTCAATATCACACAGAAAAATAAAAGTGTCAAGCCATCATCTAAGGTTCTAACACTATAATCTACGAGAGTTTAAACTCTTGAAGGGCAGACACTTTCCTGAGTTCACTGCTGCCAGCACATGGCACAGGACCATGCGCATCACTAGAGCTGATGCTTATACCAGTGCACATGCTCTGAAAAAACATTAGGAGAGCTAATGTATTTAATGAAGAAGCAAAATGATAACTGGATAGTGGCTCTCTTTCATATCACAAACAAGGCTAATTTGTAATAAAGAATCGAGAATGAAACAGTTACATCAAAAAAGCTCAACCATGGATTACAGGCCAATGTCATAGACTTACTGTCAATCTTTAAGATGACTATTTCCAATTTAACCTTCCCACTACTTGAAAAATCGTGTTGTCAGCATCTCCCAGTCTCATTTTCTATCATTGACTTTTATATTCCCGTTCACAAATCTTGAGGAACTTCCTAGAAAAAAACTTGGGAGTTTCTTCCCATCAGTGATCAAAATCATACAAACCTCTGTCAGTTGTTTCAATTGAGCCTTGTTTTCACTTAATTCTTCTGACAGGTCATTCTTTTTCACTTGCAGTTCACAGATTTCCTTTCTTAATGGATTCACTAGTTCATAGAATCGAATCTTTAAAAACAAAAATCAAATTAGTAAGCAGTTTTAGAATCCAAGTTACAATTAAAATTTGTTAATTTATAGTACCCTCAATTATGAGTGATAAAATTATTAAGGTAACAAAAGGAAACTGTTTAGAAGTTTTGTATTATATGCCTGTATAATAAAGTTTTGTTTTGTTTGTACAAAACCAAAGCAAGGCAGTTGTTAACTGACCCTGACCACTAATACTTTAGTAAGGCTTGATGTTCAATTAAGTTTCCTCAATGCCAAGATAATCTAAATCCTTGACCCTTGACACAGTGTCTCTTTCTTCTTCAATATCTATATTCCATTTACTGCTTACTCCCCATCTCCTACCACTGCTCACTTCACCCTATCTGCTTGTTACTTCTTGAACACATGAAGTGCTTGAGTTTTGCTCTATCTTCTGATAGAAGAATTCTTCCCATATACAAATGCATGGCTCATGCTTTCACTCCTTTCAGGACTCTGATCAAATGTCACTCTATCAGTAAAGCCCTAATTCCTCTAACCTGATTTAAAATAGCCTGGTGACTGTTCCTATTCTCACTCCTGCTCTTTTCTCCATAGCATTTACAACAAACATTCTACATATTACTTTTAATTTATTGTCTGTATCATTCCACTTGAATGTAAGCTCATGAAAGAATTTTTGCCTGGTTTGTACACTGCTCTATCTCTACTGTCTAAACATAAGCCTACATCCTTAGCTCTTGGTGAAGCTCTATTGCTACCATTGCTGTACAAGGGATAAACAAGATGAATCAAGAGATATCTTTTATATCAGTATTTCTATTCAGTTCAGACCTCTCTTCTCATTCATAATTCTCTCAGAGGAATTTGTCTGCCCTAATCTAGTAAAGTGTTCCATCTGACAAATTTCTATAAAATTAAGAAGCCATGAACAAATTAGGAGAAAGTACTTATTCCTATATATCAAATAGGCATGCAATCTGTAATTCCTTAATATATTGCTGAATTGTAAGAGTACCACATCTGGTAAGAGGCTAGTCCTTAACACAATGAATTTGTGTATAACTAACTAGTTAGGATAATACTATCTGTGAAAACAAAAGATAACAAAGAACATTAAAAAACCACAGAACAAAAATATGTGTAACTGCCACTAGTGGGATACTTGATATCTACTATATAGATAAAGTCACAACAGCACGTGAGAAATTTGATTTGTCCTGGACAGTACATTTTGGACAGAAAAAAAAATATTTGAACTATTTAAATAAAAATAAACAAATAGGAACACTTTGTTTTATATGAGATCATTAATCCAGAAACCTTAATGCAGTTGAGACCAAGAATAGCAACCACCACTCCCTCAAAAGTAATAGGTATATTTAATACTTACTACGTGCTTATGATGTTCTTTTTTAAATTAAAAAAAAATTTTTGTCTATTTATTTCTTATGTTCTAAGCACTCTGCTAAGCATTTCACATACATATTCCCAGTTAATCTTCACAATTACCTCAACAGAAAGGCATTATTATTATTATCAGTCTTTTCATATATGAAAAAGTTTAAGCCTCTAAGGGTGAAATGACATCTATAGATGACAAACCAGCAGTTCTCAATGTGTGGTTTAGGAACCTCTGGTAACCACTCTGCCCCTCTGAGACCCTTTCAGGAAATTCATAAGATTAAAACTATTTTCCTAATAATACTAAGATTTTTTTTACCTGTTTTATTCTCATTCCCTTATACTTGTTCAGTGGTGTTTGCCAGTGGCTACCTAATTGACGTGCAAGGAGATCACTGCCTTTAAGGTTAATAGAGTGTGCTTACGTATTCTTGTGTTTTAAAAATGTCTTAGTGTTAATTTTCAATATGGTAAATAGTAATAGATACTGCACATATAAACAAAAGCTTCTTGGCATCCTTAGTAATTTTGTGAATGTAAAAGGATGCTGACATCAAAAACTTAAGACTACTGCCATATATGAATTCTATGTGTAGACTTGTATAACCAACACTGCAATAAATCCTGAACTAGACGGACCACAAAGATCTCCTTCATCCTACCACTTTATAATCACACCAATTCCTCTCTTCTCTACTCTCCCTGGCTACCACTAATCTGTTATCACTATAATTTCTCATTTTGAGAACATTATAAACCAACAGTTCATGATAAAATGATTCATTTCTATGGACAATGTAGCCATTAACTTCATAATCCTATTTATTGCTTGACTTTGAAGATCAATGGTCAAGACCCTTTAAAATTTGGTGATCTGAACACCACTCACCATTTTCAGATCAGGGCCACAAAATAAAACAATTTATCAAATGGATACTTTGAAGGTATGGCTATTACATAAATGGCAAATTCTAAGTTGAAAACATGCAGTTTTTTTTAAATGATATAACACACTTACAGATACATATTCAGGAATAGAAAGCTGATCTTCAGGAAAACCTTTTAGTTTCATATATTGCTCTTCTGTCAGCTCAAAGTCACGGAGGTTTCGACGAATATCTCCAGCCTTCTCTCTTAGCTGAGTATTTGTCTCTTCTAGTTGTTTCTGTCTCAATAAAATCGTTTCCATTTCTTGTTTCATTAGTTCTTGATATTTTCTACATTAGGAAAGAATTTATGGCAAGCTTAAAAAAATCTTTGAGATTTAATTTTCTCAAAGTTACCTTTTTATAGTAACACAAAAATAGGAAGTGAGAAGCTCTCTAGTATTTTTGGCTCCAGCTAATTGCTTATTTACTTAACTAGTTAAACACGAAATGACAATTCTATACTCATTATTAAATGTGCAGCCACCACATAAATTGTTAAATAGAAAATTGATATTCTTAAGGAATAACTTTCAAAATTCAAATTATAAAATTATATACTTCCTCTGCTTAAGGTTTAAGTTTTACACATCTTATTTACACAAAATAAGTTTTACTCATTTTCATTTCTTTTTTATCCATGTACTTTACGGTCTACAGCTTGAAGACGGCAAAACTGAACCACTATAAAGTATTCATCTAACCAATGAGGCAATGAAAAGAGTAATCTGTAAATAATCATTCTCAAAGAATACATGTAGCAGACATTGCTATCATTAGTTACCTATTCAAAGATTTTGAGCAGGAAGGGACAATGGTTTCTTTCCCCTTCCTACTGTATCACAACCATCAACATACAAATATGCTGTTAAATCTCCTATCTTTAAAAAAATGGACAGTGACCCCATTTCACTGCCCTCTCTATTTGCCTCTCCATAAAACAAAACTTCTAGAAAGTTGTCTATATTCACTCTCTCTGATGCCCTTCCTCTTAAACTCATGCCAATTAGGTTTTCATCTTTCCTACTCAAATCTCAAGGTTGCCAATGATATCCAGATTGCTAATGATCAATTCTCGTTCTTTTCAGCCATTATTAAAGGATTACTGGACACAATTGATCTCTTCTTCCTTTATACACTTTCTTCACCTGGCTTCCAAATCCCTATACTCTTGTCATTTGTTTCCCATTTTACCGGTGGTATTATCTCAATTTCCTTTTTGTGGTTTACCTTAATATTAGGAGTATTTGGCCCTCTTCTCTCTATATATTTATTACCTTTGGGAATTCATCCAGTCTTATGACCTAAATATGTTCTATCTATATCTTAATGACTTCCAGATTTATAACTCTTGACCAAACTCTTCAAATACCTACACATGGGTTTCTAAGAAGACAACTGTAACTGAACATGTCCCAAAGTGAACTCCTACTCTTCACTCACAAACCTATTCCGCTGTGGTTTCCCTATCCCTTAGTTGACAGCAATTCCACCCTTTCATTTATTTAAACCAAAAATGTTGCCATAATCCTTGACTCTTTATCTCTTGAACCTCACATATAATTCATTAGGATATCAGCTCAACCTTCAAAGTATATTCAAAATCCAACTACCTTTTACCAGCATCAGCTAACAAGATTATTGCAATAGCCTCTTCTTAACTGCCCTTTCAACATCACTTACTCTGAGAATGCCTCAAGAATTAGAGTAGAAGCCGAACCACTGAATGCAGTGGTTTCCAAAGCATTGTCTCCAGACTAGTGGCATCAGAATCACCTGAGAACTTGGTGGAAATACAGATTCTCACAGCTCTCACCCCAAATCAGAGTATCACAGGTTGGGATCCAACAATCCTTTTTTAACAAGACCTCCAGATGGTTCTGATGCATACTGAAGTTTCAGAACTACTGATCCAATGTTATAGTGCTTAGAAACTGATCAGATAGATAATCTTTTAAAATATCAATTAAATAGTGAAATCTTATACAGAGAAAAGATAAGCACTTTACAACACATTTACATTTACTTCTAATTAACACACATAATTAACACTTGTCAAATTTTCTATGTAGATTTTTTTTTAAATACAAAAGTATGCTTTGCTTTTGTGTAAGTCATTGTTGGGAAGAAACCTGAGAGGATGCTTTCTATGGATTTGTTTGGTTTTTGCTCCCAACTTTTAAATCTGTCTTGCTTTCACTTAATTTGATGATTTTTTTTTTTAGTCACTCACTTTTATTAAGTCATTCCAAAGAATTCATTATAGTTTTCATAGAAATAGCAGTATCTTTTTTTCCACTCCTATTTTACTGTTTACGTAACTCTTAATAAATTACGTAAGTATAGCAAGTGCAACTGTCACAGGCATATTTGAGAGTAAATACAATGGACCCTTAGTAGACAACTGAGCTGGAAGAAAGAATGTAGGTAAAATAGAAGATAATTCATACCTGCAGATTGAAATGGGCCATGAGAATTAGTGTGCTTGACAGAGCCAATGAAGAAAGGTTACTTCAGATAACAGGTTCAGTAATGGTGAGCTTAGAGAACGTCCATTGTCATTTATCGACTGCCTACCTCAGCAATGTCTGTTGAATGAATTCTGATTTTTTGTATCTTATGTACTGTATCAAGTAACCAACTTTTTTTGTTGGCCTAGATGTAAAAATGGTTACCATCACGGACTTAAAATTTCTCTTTTAGTTTACGATTGCTTGCATGAACAAGCAATGAAATTACTTTTAATGGCTCAGTAGGTATTATTGTTTTTTAAAAACTTTCTTACTTGGCATCCTTTTGTTGAAAAGTCAATTGATTGTCCAATCTCAATGTCAATAGCTGCTTCTGGTGAAGTGCATCATTTAGTTTCTCCTCCAATTCTTCAATCTTAGTAAAGAGAAAGAGGTAAATTATGTGGTCAACTTCCAAATTATCACTAAAAATGTCTGAAAAATACTAAATGTACAAAAAAAGAAAGAAAGTGCTTAAAAAAAAACAGGCTAGGGCAGCCCGGGTAGCTCAGCAGTTTAGCACCACCTTCAGCCCAGGGCGGGATCCTGGAGACCCCGGATGGAGTCCCAAGTCAGGCTCCCTGCATGGAGCCTGCTTCTCCCTCTGCCTGTGTCTCTGCCCCCCTCTCTCTTTCTCTCTGTGTCTCTAATGAAAAAAATAAATAAAATCTTAAAAAAAAAAAAAAAGAAACAGGCTAAAGATAGGTAGAGGTTCCTCTGCAATGGTTATATTAACAAATTACAAAGTCTGCATACAAATGGTTTTCAAACTGTGGTTTAGACTGCTGCTACATATACGGTTTTTCGCCAGGCTGTCATCAGACTTTTTCCTCTTAACCCACTCTCACTGAGAAGCCCACTAACAACTGGGATTTTATTTTGGTGCCTCACCCAGGTAATTATTTCTCACTAGACCTGCATTTGTCCCCTTGATCCATATATCTCCAAATGAATACTCCATGGATGACGTCACAAATGTCCAAAAGAAAACTAGCCCTCAGCCTCACCTAATCGTACATTTCTTGCATCTCCTCAGTCTCCAATGCAAAAACACCCAAGTCACATTTGATGTCTACTTCTCCCTCACCACTTTTTCTAATCAGACACCATTTTGTTGTTGTTGTTGTTGACTTCATAAATAGCTGTCAAAACTGCTCAGTTCTCTTTGATATCTGCTGACAAGTCTTCAGTTAGATCTCTATCAGTCACCTCTCACCAGGAGTGTTTCCTTATACCCAGTTTTGTCAATCTCCAAATTTATCTTTCTTTTCAAAAATGTTATTAAAAATTTATTTCCCCAGTTTTAGATGCTTCAGAGGATCATCACTATTTTCTTTTTTCTTTCTTTTTTTTTTTTTAAAGGAAAGTTTTGTTTTTTTTTTTAAGATTTTATTTATTTATTCATGAGAGACACACAGAGAGAGAGAGAGTCAGAGACACAGGCAGAGGGAGAAGCAGGCTCCATGCAAGGAGCCTGATGTGGCACTCGATCCTGGATCTCCAGGATCACACCCCAGGCTGCAGGCGGTGCTAAACCGCTGCGCCACCGGGGCTGCCCACTATTTTCGAAATAAATTCAGACTCATGGCATAATATACTAGTACTTCTTGATCCGGCCCCTGGCAGCTCCTTCCTTCTCTTGTCACTAGCTTAAAAGGATACTCTCTCTTCCAGGCAAAGTAAGTGCTTGCCATTCTTCAAATATGCTGTAGTCCCTCTTAAGCCTCTATGCACTTCGGTTTTGCTCTTAGTCTAATTAAAAAATTCTTTTCTCTTTCCCTCTTAACCCAGGCAATTCTTGTTCATCTTTTAAAACAGATTAACAGTCAATCTTTAATATAGTCAAGTAGATTCCTCTTGCATCAACAAATTCCCCATCTCTACTTGAGATCATTCCTGTCATTAAGCAAACTACTTCTATCTTCCACTAAAAAGAACAGTATACTCCCTTGATCACACCACTCCCTATACTAACGTACCATTTTTCTGCTCACCATCAGAGCGAAACCTCAATATTTTATCCCATAATATTCCAATAAAAGTATTCTGAATCACCTCTTTAATACTCAGGCTGATGGTAATTTCAGTATATTTATCTTAATTGACAAACATGATTTGACAGAGCAGACAATTCTATCTTATCTTGGATTCTATCCTCCAAATCCACTAACCACTCGTAGGCTTTTCAGGCTCCTTTGCTAGATTCTCTTCCTCTAGCCTATTTCTAAATGTTGGGACTCCCCTTCACATGGTTTGGGGCCCTCTGCTCTCACCAGATAATGTCATCTAATCCCATAGCTTTAAGTGCCATCTATACACTGACGCATATTATAAATACACAGCACACACACACACACACACACAGTCATGGACTCGCCCCTCAACTTTAAATCGACAATTCTGTTTTGGAGTATAACAGAAACCTAAAGTTTAACATGTTCAAATGGAACTTAAATTTTACTTTCCAGATAAGTCTTCTGCCAGTCTTCCATTTCTCAATAAATGGCTCCAGTAGATGAAGCCAAAAACTGAGTCTTACATAAGGCAATAACCCAATTAACTGTCTTCTGCTTCTACCTTATCTGCCCTTGGTCTATTACTTCAGTGATATTTTGAACACAAAAATAAGGGTCTCTAATTCTAATTGCCTAAAACCTGCTAGTGGCTTCTATGATTACACAGTCTAAAGCAAGGGTAAATAAGCAATGGCAATGGGCCAAATCAAGCTCATGTCCTCTGTATAGCCCATGAGCTAATAGGTTTTGCATCTGTAAAGGGTTAAAAAAACAAAGAATATGTGGTAGACCACATATGGCCTGCAAAACAAAAAATATTTGTTGTCTGGGCCTTTACAGAAAAAGTTTGCTGACTTCTTATCTACAGTAGAAAACTCCCATTGCTAAGTGATGCTGTGTCACAGGACCTTGAAAATCTTCCATTTGTTTTTTGATCATGTCAAGATGCGATCTACATAAAAAAGCGACTGCCATATTCAGTTACATTCCCAGCAATATGCCTTAATGAATATCTCAAACCAACAAAAGACAACCACATTCCTCATAATTATTATTTTGCAAATCAAGAATACTGTTACTACAAGGACAGAAACTTCTTCTCTTTCCAGGGTTATAATTTTCACAATTTTAACTGACTTCTAAATTAGGTTCCTTAACTCAGAGATAATCAAACTGGGAAGATGCACCCCTTCATTTATTTCCCAAGTAATGAGGTACCCATATATCTCAAGTGAAAGACTTTCTAGCATTTAGAAATTGACAGGCATGAAGAATGAAGAGGAAAGGAACAAAGAAATAAAGGAAGGAAGGAGATTTAGGCATCAATGGGCAGGGATAAAATGGAAAGCTGGCAATTCTCTAGAATCAGGACATTAGACTTAAGCTGTTACCCTTTTAAGTTCTCTCAGGGAGCAAGGGGGAAGTGGGAATCAACACTTTTAAGTTCCCTTGGAGAAATCTGTTCTTGTTTTTAGAAATGGAGAAATCAAATCAACATGGATCAAGACATTCCTAGTAAAAAACTATATTAGTAACGAACTGTTACAAACGTAAAAATGGTGAAAAGACTTTAGACCACATAGATTCACAGACTTCCTAACTTAAAAAGACTATGATGAGTAGAAAAAATTTTGCTGCTTGTCTCCCAACACAAAGTCTTCTTTCTAATGTAACTCTGACTTTTATTTGTGACAATACTGTATCCAGTTAAATACTTAACATTTCCCAGCTTCCCACACTCCTTGCTGCAGGGGGTGGTCCTGCTATATACTTCTAGTTTACTGCAGTCACTGGCTTGAGCTTCTGGGAAAGCTCTTTAAAAGGAATGAGTCCTTCCTAGGGCTTTTGGGCGTCTCAGTTGGTTACGTATCTGACTCTTGGTTTCAGTTTAGGTCCTGATCTCGAGGTAGTGAGATCAAGCCCTGAGTGATGCTCCATGCTCAGCCAGGAGTCTGCTTCAGATTCTCTTTCCATTTCCCTCTCCTTCCTTCTCTGGCCCTCCCCCTGGTTGCGCTTGTGTGAGCATGCTCTCATCTCTTTCTCTTAAATAAATAATAAAAACCTTAAAAAGAAATAAAAATAAATAAAAGGGATTGACTCCTTTGGCATGTGCCTCATTTTCCCATTACCCTTCACCTATTTCTTCTGCGTGTAACATGGATATAATACTAGAGATAGAGCAGCCATTTGTGACTTTGAGGTGAAAAGCACATGCTTAAAACAGCTGTGCATAAGGATAAAAGGAGCCTGGGTTCCTAACAATATCAAGGAGTAACCACTCCAAATCTAGATTAGCTACTTTCAGATCCACCCCAAATTTAAATTAGCTACTTTCAGATTCCTGTTAAACCAGAGAAACAAAATCCTTCTCCTGTTTTACAATCAGCCACCATTTTCTAAGCCTCGGTACTAGCAGCTGAACTTCATCCCCAGAACACTGCACAGCTGGTTCAACCTCTTTCCACATCAAAAATACCTATATCATGATACTTGGCCATTCAAGACCACTTGAATGCTTCCAATGACAGGAAGCTCAGTAACATAAATCAGGCCATTTAAATGTTAATAGCAAGTATAGATTTACAGTCAGCAGAGATCTACTTTTTCTGTGACTTCTATTATCTATAGTCTGGTGAGGGAAATTTATTTTTAATAATGCTAGATGTGGTATATATGTACAATGGAATATTACTTAGCCATCAAAAAGGAACTCTTGCCATTTGCAAGGACATGCATGGAATGAAAAGATTATGCTAGGTGAAACCAATCAGAGAAAGACAATTATATGATTTCACTCATGTGGAATTTAAGAGACAAAACAGAGGATCATAGGAGAAGGGAGAGAAAAATACGAAAAAACAGAGAGAGAGGCAAATCATCAGAAACTCTTAACTACAGGAAACAAACAGGGTTGCTGGAGGGGAGATTAGTGGGGGGGGGATGGGGTAACTGGGTCACGAGCATTAAGGAAGGCATGTAATGTAATGAGCACTAGATGTTACGTGCAACTGATGAATCACTAAACTCTACCTCTGAAACTAATAAAAAATAATGCTAAAAAATGAGATTTTCATCTTTGTATCCCCAGTGCTCAATGCACTGGTAAGCTCTGGAGAAAAAATGGCCAAAAATTATGTTCCTTCATTGATCCCAGGCTGGCTCTTACTTTTTCACATTTTATGTCTCTGAAACTGGAATGCATCTTACAATCTATAGTACATAACAGTTTAACTTGGCAGTTTTTAATCTCACTGCTACAAGTAATTGTTCACTTTACAATCAAGCTGTCTTGGATTTGATGAATTATGGAAGACTAATTCTTCTACTGTATAATATTTCTCCATGTATTTGACAGCAGACAACCTACTCCCAAGGGGTCTCTAAGCAAAAAATCCCTAGTGCTCATGGACCAAAAAACACGGGAATGTAGAGTAGGCAGCTATTCTGGAGAGTATTTTGACAGCACACTCAGTTTAATTAAGTATGCATATACCCTGTGAGCCAGAAATTCCATTTTTGAGTATATATACATGTCAAAGATGTTCACATAGGTTCAGAAGAGAAATGTTTATAGAAGGCCCATATTGTACATGGTAGCAAAAAGTTGGGAGGCAATCCAGGTGCCTATTTCTGTGGTAGTGGATGGATAGACAGGTACACACACACACACACACACACACACACACAGAATTGCACAGAAATTAGAAGCAGAAAACTAGATATACACATAGTAACATCAATGATTTTTAAAATAGCACTGAGTTGGGAAAAAACTATAAAAGAGATAAACCCTAAAACAAAGCATGCAATTTACATTTATATAAAGGAAGAAAATAAGAAAAATACCCATTATCAAGAACAACTGTAAAAAAAAAAACATTAAAATAGATAATAGAGAGAGAAAGGGAAATGAACTATGAGAATACAAAGAATATACAACAGAAAAAGTGGCTGTGGCATGGATCAATAATGATTAGGTGGCATAAACTCAGGACTATGACTAATTCAGTCTTCTACATTTGCGGTTTAACTAGAAAACTACAATAAAAAACTGTACTAAGCACCATGTGGTACAAAAATAATAATATAGTTCTGAGTAAGTATATCTATCAGCTTGTGTGCATTGATTAATCTTTCCAAGAAATGCATGAAGTATATAAAAGTTGAGGGATTTGCCCAAAGTAACTAACTATTGGGCCTAGAGTTCAAATCCAAACTGTGTGTATCTAGAACTGTAGCTCTGATCTGTTACACTATAGAGTCCCTCATGGATAAGCCACCATTTCTAAAGTATAAATCTCACACTTCAAAAAGGAGAGAAGCCATTTACAACCAAGCACAAGCAAGTTGAAAAAAATAAAAGTAGCCTAAAAAAATGTAAGTTTGGATGTGATATGTAGTAGGCACTCAATAAAATGTCTGTTGATTGAGTGGGTTGATTAATGAATGGGATATTACCTCTGCTTTCTACAGTGAGTTGGATCTATAGAGATTTTGAGGGGCAGAGATATGTGAGCCAGTAGCACCGTGAGAGTCCACCTGAGGAGTAACAGCAATATGAGTAAACCACTATATACAATGACAAAATACCAAGTGGCCTAATCTAGACCAAGTCAGCTAGGTAGGTAACTATACAGGCAACCTAAGAAAATGTTAGGAGCTTTCATTTGGGTAGAATACGGGCTTTAGATTTTTTGGTTTGAATCCTACCTGGCTCCATCACTTCCATCTAAATGGCCTTGGTGGGGATCCCTGGGTGGCGCAGCGGTTTGGCGCTTGCCTTTGGCCCAGGGCGCGATCCTGGAGACCCGGGATCGAATCCCACGTCAGGCTCCCGGTGCATGGAACCTGCTTCTCCCTCTGCCTATGTCTCTGCCTCTCTCTCTCTCACTGTGTGACTATCATAAATAAATAAAAATTAAAAAAAAAAATAAATAAAAAAATAAATGGCCTTGGTATGCTATTAACCACTTGTGATTCTGTTTTATCAAGAGCAAAATGGGGTTCAGTCCCTCATTTAGGGTAGTTGAGCACTTAAGACATGACAGCAACTGTTCTAAGCACTGGAGATATGTGAGTACAAAGAAATCCCTGTCCTCATGAACTTTAAGTCTATTAAGAGAGACAAATACCAAAACAAAGCCAGGTTGTCCTATGAACACATATCTAAGGCACAGGGAATAAAGGAGGTGAAACATGAGGATATTATTTTAATAGACAATAGCAACAATAACTAATAGTTTGTGCTCAGGAACTAGTCTAACTTATTTTATTGATTCATTTAATATTAAAGGCAGGGGAGATCCTCCCTAAAAACGCTTATACCTCACAGAGTTGTGAGGTTTAAGTGAGGTAACACATGAAAAGCTCATAAAACAGTGTCTGGCGAAGAACAAACCCTCAATAAATGTTAGCCATTAATATTTCTAATAACTGTATCTAAATGATTTCCTTACTCATTAAGATCCTGGACACCTAGGCCATAGGACACTTCATTTTTCTAGAGAGGCACAGTCAACAATTTTTCTAGCAGCAAGATACTACAATGTATTAGCATGATTGACAAGAACTAAAATAGAAAGCTGACTTAACAAAAACAGCAAAATGGGGGGGTAGTGTTTAGGAAGAGGTGGGATCAAGAGCAAAAGAAAACAATTATTATTGGAAAGAAAAATAATTTTCTTTTTTTTAGAAAAAAAATTTTCTCAGAGACAGAAGTAGTAAGAGCTAAAAAGTGTCTCCTGTCTTTTTGAAATCACTATAAATTTCTTAGAACTAATGACAACTTTACCAAGTCTTACATAAAATACTCCATAACTATAGAAACCACACAAGCCATAAAACAAAACAAAACAAAACAAAACAAAACAAAACAAACAAAAAAAAAACCCCCCAAGCTCTAGGACATCCCTTCCTCTTTGGCAAACACCACTCGTTAAACACCATGATAACTGAATGTATGCTTGGTACTACGACACAGTAACAAAACTAAATACCAAAGAAACTAAATCTCCGGGGCAGAGGACTATACAAACTCAATAACCTAATTATGATCTTGATTCTCACAATCAAACTAGTCACATCAGGGTTAATTCTCAATGAAGCTGAAAACAACTTAGATATATCTCACACATGCTAGATTTAAAAATTGAGCCTAGGGGGATCCCTGGGTGGCGCAGTGGTTTGGCGCCTGCCTTTGGCCCGGGGCGCGATCCTGGGGGCCCGGGATCGAGTCCCACGTCGGGCTCCCGGTGCATGGAGCCTGCTTCTCCCTCTGCCTGTGTCTCAGCCTCTCTCTCTCTCTCTGTGTGACTATCATAAAATAAAAAAAAAAATAAAAATAAAAATTAAAAAATTGAGCCTATAGGGCAGCCCGGGCGGCTCAGCGGTTTAGCGCCGCCTTCAGCCCAGGGCCTGATCCTGGAGACCGGGGATGGAGTCCTGCGTCGGGCTCCCTGCATGGAGCCTGCTTCTCCCTCTGCCTGTGTCTCTGCCCCGCCCCTCCCATGAATGGATAAAATCTTTGAAAAAAAAAAAAAAAATTGAGCCTATACAAGCAAGTCATCTGCACCCAACTTCAAAATCATCCCCTCTTTCAGGACTTTTTAATTTAGTGTACAGAAATAAAATTCATTACCTTTCTCCTTCCAAAAAGCTTTTTTAAACTGTGCAAGAAAATATGATTTTCTTCTTGAAATGATAAACCCATCATTTCAAGTTCAGATTACATAAATGTTTAATTCTTATTCTTTTGCAGTTTGAAGACAATAAAGCATAAAGATAACAAAAATCACGCCAATCTTACCTTTGTAAGATAATCCACTTTCAAGTTGTCTATCATCATATTTTTCTGAGACAGCTCTATTTTCAGTAACTGAATATTATGAAGTAGTTCTTTACGTTCAATGAGTTGCTGGGTAATTTTGATCTTACCATCTCGCTCTTCTGATGACGAAATATCATCCGTAGGAACTGTTGTTTCTAAACTAATATCTTCAGATTCCAGAGAACTAGAGATGTTCACTTTTTGTGATGCCCTGGCAATTTTTCGAGACATTTTTTTTTCTTCTTTTTTTAAAACTATGAATTCGTTTTCTTCTCCAATTCTATTTCAGCTTTCTGTAGGTTAAAAAAAAAATATATATATATGTATATATACATATATATTAATTGAAGTGTACTCTAACATTCTCTACGGAAAGCATAAGTATATCAAAAAGATACCAAGGACTGCCCGAGTAGGTATTAGACAATCCGGAGGACCAGATTAGTAAACCGCTGCTCAAGTCAAACACATTAAATCAAGCTCATTAAATCCTACTAAGCCTTTGTCCTTAATGAACCCAAAAACCCAATCTCCGGGGGGACAGGGATCTCACTCAGAGGAAACAAAGAAACGTTGGAAGTAAAGGATGAAAGCCCTAAGTCAGGGGTCACCCAGGGACGCTACTAATAAAAGCAGCACAGATTCAAGATGAGAGGGGTCACTTCTGAGTGGATCAAGGGAAGGTAATGTTCTCCTTAGAATCTTGAAGGATTTGTTTAGGGCAGCACCAGCAGAAGAGCATGCAAGAGCGACGGCTGGCTGGCACGGGGGTGGCGAAAAGGCACAGCAGCAGAGGGCAGTGGTGGCCAGGCCGGGGCCAAGCCTCTGCTGAGTTTGGGGAGGCCTCGCCCCTACCCCAACCCCCTTACACAAACGCACGTGACGACCTTCACCATCAAGGCTGCGGAGAGCCCTGAAAGGTCAGAATGTGCTCGAAATTTACTCTGCAGGCCACGAGGAGGCATCGCTGAAGGGTCTTCTGAAACGGGAAACCGTGAAATAAGCACATCTTAAGAGACTTCCAGACAGAATGACAACAAGAAAAGAGAAGACCGAGCCCTCTAAGTGGCACTTGGTTACCCTTTCACAACAATGCTTAGCAGTTCTCTCGCTCTAATACGACAGGTGTGCGGAGGGGAAATCCCTCCTTTCAGACGGAAAAGGGTAGAGAAAGGTGAAGTCAGAGAGAGGCAACATCTGGATGACAAAGGATCAGCGGCTGGGACGAGCCCACACAGGCGGAGCGAAGAAGAAAAGCCCAACTCGGCGGCGTAGGAGGAGGATCCCCTCGGTCCGCGTGGCAGAGGGATAGCCGCGAGCTACCTCGAACGCTCTTCACCGACACCACGTCTGAGGCTGGGCCAGCCACCACCACCACCATCGCCTCTTCAGGGAGCTGAAAAGCGTCTCCAAACGGAAGCCCAGGTCGCAGCTCCTCTAGAAGGAATCTCAGATTGGGGACCGTTATTACGACCCGTAACCACGACAACCACTTCCGCGCCCGTAAAGGACGGAGGAAGCGGCTGCGCGCTTGCGCCCAAGCCGCCGGAACTCAGCCCGGATCCTCCCCCAACGCGAGGAGCAATGCATGCTGGGATCTGTAGTCCAGAGGCAAGCCCCGCCCGGGTCCTGGAGGGAAATAACTCCGGGCTCCGCCCATCCTCCTCGCTGTCACCCAATCCTCGCAGCGCTCAGAGAGCCAACGAACGTCAGCCTCGACGTTTTCCCGCGAGAAGTATTTACTAATATCCTGGAGCGGGAAGGGGTGAACCTCGGGGTCGAGTATAGTTGTACTGCAGGCCTCTTACTGGGCGCTTTTCGCCGGAAGAGCGCGACCGGGGTCGGGGTACCGCGCTGCGGAGCAAGATGCTCAAGTCCAAGACTTTCTTAAAAAAGACGCGGGCGGGCGGCGTGGTGAAGATCGTGCGCGAGCATTACCTGCGGGACGACATCGGCTGCGGCGCGCCCGGGTGCGCTGCGTGCGGGGGTGCGCACGAGGGGCCGGTCCTCGAGCCGCAGCCCCTGGACCCGGCGAGCAGCCTGTGTCCCCGGCCGCACTACTTGCTTCCCGACACCAACGTGCTGTTGCATCAGGTGCGTCGGCGGGCGGGCGACCCGGCGTCCTCTCTCTCGGCACGGCCAGGAGAAGGGGGCGTGATGGAATAGGGAAACCGAGGCCCCAGGAGGAGCGGCTTGGACGTTACGTACTTAGTCTCGGAACCTTTGCCTGCGGCCCCCCAGGCCGAGTTCCTTTTTCCTTTTTTACTTCCTTCTTTATCTCTCTCTCTCTCTCTTTTCTTTTTTCTTTTTTTTTTTTTTAATTCTTGGAGTAATAAGGATTTTAGATTAATTTTCTAACTCCTGGTGTCTCTTCTGCCTTAGATTGTAAGTGTCTGGAGGCCGGGGACCCGGGCTTCTGTGGCCTCCAGCCTGCAACTCCCAGGCAGCTTGTAAGTGCCTACGAATGAAAACTATGTGGGCCGACGTATTTCATTATTAGTGGACGTGATTCTACAAAATTTTGTGGTTAATCTGTGTATATATGCTCTTCTGTAATAGGCCTGAAGGGTTTTATTTTTTTTTTTGTAGCAAAGTAACTCCTTAGTGTATACATGTTTTTTTTTTTTGTAGCAAAGTAACTCCTTAGTGTATACACGGTGTTTTTTTTTTTTTTTTAAAAAAAAAACATCGACAAGGTTCTATATTGTGCTGAAACAATTTAAATAGGAAAATTTAAATTTTCTCTCTTTATTTATTTTTTTAAGATCGATGTTCTTGAGGACCCTGCCATCAGAAATGTGATTGTCCTGCAGACAGTTCTGCAAGAAGTGAGGAATCGGAGTGCTCCTGTATATAAACGGATCAGAGATGTGACTAATAACCAGGAGAAGCATTTCTATACCTTCACTAATGAGCACCATAGGTAGGGGGGAAGAGTATGTTGTTTACCAGAAAACCATAGACTTAGCTAAATTTGGGCAAGGGTCCCTGGCAGTAATTGTGACATTGTTGGAAGATGCACGGGTAAGTTTCATACTTAGGGGAGGATGATTTGGTTGTTCCACGGTTGTACCTGAGGTGCACACAGGCATTGATTAGATCAAACCTAGAACCAAGTCTCGAGTCTCCAGACTCCTAGGCTGCTGTAGGTACTTTTGTTTCCAGAATGTCTCCATCCTGAATTGGTTTCAATATGAATAGAGCAGTAAAATCTCAGAAGAGGAGATATTTATTTATTTATTTATTTATTTATGATAGAGAGAAAGAGAGAGAGAGAGAGGCAGAGACACAGGCAGAGGGAGAAGCAGGCTCCATGCACCGGGAGCCCCATGTGGGATTCGATCCCGGGTCTCCAGGATCGCGCCCTGGGCCAAAGGCAGGCGCCAAACCGCTGCGCCACCCAGGGATCCCAGAAGAGGAGATTTTACCTAGGTTCCTGGAATATGATATTATTTGATAACCAACATAAATTGATAAGATGTAAGAGTTTATGAAGGAGAGGTTTAAAAATACAAAGCAGATTTATTATTAACAGACTTTTAAAAGTTAAGCTTAAATACTTTTTTTTTAACTGATCACATTGAAGAAGATAGGGTTAAGAGATAGAATTCTTTGTTCCGTTTCAGTTTTATACCCTTTGAACATAATATGTGGTTTTAAAGAATATTTTGCTGTTTCTTATGTTACATAAGTTACCTGTGTTAAGTTCTAGTATACTTTTATTACATTAAGTTAGCGCTTCTCAACCTTGGTACTATTGACATTTTGGGTTGAATAATTCTTTGTTGTGGACAGGCTGTCATATATATCATAGGATGTTTAGCAGTATCTTATGCTTCTACTCACTACATGCTCATAGGAACCCTTCTTCACCCCCATCCACAGAGCTGTAACAACCCAAATATCTCCAGACATTGTCTGAATATTCGCTAGGCAGCAAATCACCCCTAGTGGATTAGACAGTAGAATTCCAGCAATGAAAGCTCATTGGAATGCATATATTTAAAAATGTTTAATTTTTCAATTTTCTCGTTATTTCTGTAGCCCGAATTTAAATATTCCTGTAAAAATCATTGGTAAAGCACTTGTAGTCATTTTATTGCTAGCTTGTCCTTGAAATTCAGAAACAGAAACTTGTTTTTCAGTGCAGAGTGACCAAATTTTTGTGGAGCACTATCATCAGATTTTTAGCAATTAGAAGTTAGCAATTTTTCTGCTTAAGTGCAGTGAATAGAGCTTAGCAATACAGGAGTTGGAGGATACTGGGGCACATTTCATCTAAGATTCTATTGCTCAAGTCATGCTAAAACCAATTCAAAATATAATGATAGTGCCTGACTAGTAAGCTTAAAGCATTAGGAGGGGCATTTAATGGTGAGAAATGAAGCAGTTCTAAGAACTTAATATAAATAAGTAAGATTCTAAAGTTGATTCTGTTAATTTAAGCGCTAGAAATTTTTATACTGAATTTGTTATTTTACTCAAATTTGGCTTTGAAAACATTTAAGGAAGTAAGAATGCTGACATATGGGAATTTAGAATGGATAGACTACAAAGGAATAAAGTGTCATTATTTTTATGTGATCTTTCAGTCTCTAGATAAGCTCTGTCATTTACTGAGTATTTATCATTGGTGATTTCCATGTACTATGTACATTGAAATTTAATCATCATCGGATTTGTAGCTTTGGGAATTACTGTTAATCTACAGTTCAAATAAAATCTTATCAGACCTGCAAAGTTTTATTATAGTTTCGTGGTTTTTAAGCATTTATGTTCTAAGACTTTCTATATGTTCTTATTTCTGTTGATTTAAATTTATCACTTTGTTTTGTATTTAGAGAAACTTATGTAGAACAAGAACAGGGAGAAAATGCTAATGACAGGAATGATAGAGCCATTCGAGTAGCAGCAAAATGGTACAATGAACATTTGAAGAAAATGTCAGCAGAGAATCATCTACAAGTTCTCTTCATAACAAATGACAGAAAAAACAAAGAAAAAGCCATAGAAGAAGGAATACCAGCTTTCACTTGTAAGTCTAAATGTAGAAGCTGTTAATTTTTATATGCATTTGCAAATAGGAACTAACATCAGGCCCTTGGTCAGATGTTCACTTGAGTATTTAATATTTTCGTACTCCTGTATACTCCATCTGATGTTTGCATTTTTTAATTTCTCAGCATTTCTCAGCCAAATAAGTTGTGGTGCTCAGTGGCTGTTAATTTCCCCATCACCCTTTGTAATTGGCTTAGCAATAGAAACTCATAGATATGCTCAACCCAATACTTCTCTTTTGACATGACCATGTCAACAGATACAGATTTAAAAAAAAAAAAAAAACACAAACAAAAAAAACCCCACAACAACCTGACTTTATCAGGAACAAAACTTATTTTTCAGGTGAAGAGTATGTAAAGAGCCTAACTGCTAACCCGGAACTCATAGATCGTCTCGCTTGTTTGTCTGAAGAAGGGGTATGTTTTGAGTTTGTTTTATTTTATTTTATTTTTTTGTAAAGTGAAGATATTAAAATAGCCACTTATTAAAGTAGCCATTTTGGGATATTAAATTTATAGTTAATCACGTTTAAAAATTGGAATATTGGTAGGTAAGCTGGAATTGAATAGGAGTTGGGTTATAAACAATAAGAGTAGCTGTAATAGGCTTATCAAAATGCCATCCCTAAAAGACTTGACTTTCTAAAATAGCACTGTTCATTGATAGACCCTCAGCAACCTGAGTTGGGCCTGTCACATCATAGCACCATCTGTTTGATAAATGAATAGAGGAATATGTGACTGGTTTGTGAATAAGGTGTAAGTATTTGACCAAAAAAAGGACATGGACATTGCAGACAGCATAAAGCTGTAGAATTAATCCAGAAGGAAGAAGGAAGGAAGTCATAAGAGAACAGGAAGGGTAGGGGCCAGCTAACAAAAATCTAGAATTTCTTCTATAAATCAACAATTTTTAAACTACCTAAGTCTAAAGGGCTGCTATGAAGAGAAGGTAGCAGGTAGGAATCTGGGCTCCCTACCCTTATAAATGGCAGACTAGAAGAAATTAAGGGTGGGTACCTGGGTTACTCATCTCGGGGTCCTGGGATCAAGTCCCACATCAGGCTCTCCACAAGCAGCCTGCTTCTCCCTCTGCCTATGTCTCTGCCTCTCTCTCTGTGTCTCTCATGAATAATTAGATTTTAAAAATCTGAAAAAAAAAATTAAGGGTACATGAAGGTAGATCTGAGAGGAAGGGGAGGGAATGATCAGAAGTGTTTATTTGAGGGCACCTGGGTGGCTCAGTCGGTTAAGCATCTGCCTTCAGCTCGGGTCATGATGCTGGGGTCCTGACGCTGGGGTCTTGGGATCAAGCCCTGAGTCTAGGAGCCTGCTTCTCCGTCTCCCTCTGCCTGCTGCTCCCCCTGCTTATGCTCATTCTCTATCTCTCAAATAAATAAAATCTTTTTAAAAAGTGCATTTGAAAGACCACTCTAATTCCAGTTTGTGAGCTGATGCATTGTATGAATGACAAAGTTAGCTGCAGG